GGTTGCAGGCTTGGTCCCCAGTGTGGGGCGTGCAGGAGGCAGCCGATCAATGATTCTCATCATTGATGTTTCTATCTCTCCCTCTCGCTTCCCCTCTGAAATCAATAAAAATATATTAAGAAAAAAAAAGAACAATTACAGATCTCACTAAGGACAGAGGAGACAAGCGGGGTGGTGTGAGTAAAAGGCGGTATGTTGTCAGGGAGGGCTCGATGGATCGGCACTGCTGTCCAGGAAATGGCCTTGGCAACTTTCCTTGCTGTCCCTGCCCACGTGTGCGCACACCTGGCCGGTGGGAGGGAAGGAGGGTCCCCTATGCCGGCCCTGGTGTGACAGCCGCCCCTGTGCCCTCAGGAGCTGGTTTGAGGACCACGGGCTGGCCGGGAAGCTGCGGGCCATCCAGACGGTGTCCTGCCTCCTGCAGGGCCCCTGCGACGCCGGCAACCGGGCCCTGGAGCTGAGCGGCGTCATGGAGAGCGTGATCGCGCTGTGCGCCTCTGAGCGGGAGGAGGAGCAGCTGGTGGCCGTGGAGGCCCTGATCCACGCGGCCGGCAAGGCCAAGCGGGCCTCCTTCATCACGGCCAACGGCGTCTCGCTGCTGAAGGACCTGTACAAGCGCAGCGAGAAGGACAGCATCCGCATCCGGGCGCTGGTGGTGAGATGGGCGGCCCGGGCCGGGCACACGGGCCGATGAGCAGGGTCCCCTGGCTGGCGTCTCAGGGTGCAGCCCCAGCTCAGTCTGGGAGGCAGTAGGGGGTCTTCAGGGCTTGTCCAGGCCAGAGGCACGGGTCCTGTCTCCTCCCAGAGGGCTCAGGGTCCGTCAGAGAGAGAACCCTGGTCAGAAGGCCCCTGACGAGGTGGGCGGCACAGGCTACCCCATGGAGGTGGTGGGCGGAGCTCCAGGAGGAGGTGATGAGTTTGGAGGACAAGCTGGGCCAGGCTGGTCGGAAGGGCTGTGCGGGAAGGCTGGGCCTGCAGGCGGTCCCGGGAGCTGGTGGTTGGGGCCGTCTGGCCTCCAGGAGCCTGCAGCCTTGCACAGGGGGAAGCCCCAGGGCACTTGGTCTCTTCACCCCATAAGGATCTTGACCTTGGCTGAGGCACCTGTCTTTCCCACATCTTAGCTCCGCCTGTAGAAAGCTTTTTTCCCTTTTTTTGGTGTGATGTGGAAAACAGCTAACTCCCAGGGGTGGGGCCCAGAACAGCGCGGCGGCCAACTGGTTCTTGCCTCTCCCTCCAGGGACTCTGTAAGCTGGGCTCGGCCGGAGGGACTGACTTCAGCATGAAGCAGTTTGCTGAGGGCTCCACCCTCAAACTGGCCAAGCAGTGTCGGAAGTGAGTCACCTGGCGTTGCTGCGGCCCCACCTCGCGGCTTGCCCTCAGGAGGGGCTCTGGGAGGCGGTGGGGTCTCCTCACTGCCCTGCTCTCCCCCAGGCGACCCTCCTGGTCCTGCCCTGTGAGCTGCTTCCTGTTTTGAGTGGATGCCCAAGCCCCTGGCGTTCCCTCCCTCTCCCCCCCCCCGCCCCCCGCCCGATCCTGGTGGGCCCCCTTCACACCACCCCGTCTGACGGTTGTCCCTGCCCTGCCTGTCCCCAGGTGGCTGTGCAATGACCAGATTGACGCGGGCACTCGGCGCTGGGCAGTGGAGGGCCTGGCCTACCTCACCTTTGATGCTGACGTGAAGGAGGAGTTTGTGGAGGACGAGGCGGCCCTGAAGGCTCTGTTCCAGCTCAGCCAGGTAGCTCCTGGCTCTGCAGTAGCTTCGGGACTCTGTCTAGGATTAGAGCCCAGCAGGTTTCCTCGGCAGACCGTGGCCAATGGGGCATGTGGCCCCAGGGAGGGAGGGCTGGCAGCCGGTGTGTTCCCACTGTGTGGCGTCCGGAGTGGTCCCATGGTGTCTGGAATGGTCACACTGTGTGGCGTCCGGAGTGGTCCCACTGTGTGGTGTCTGGAGTGGTCCCACTGTGTGGTGTCTGGAATGGTCACACTGTGTGGCGTCCGGAGTGTTCCCACTGTGTGGCGTCCGGAGGGGTCCCACTGTGAGGCGTCCGGAGGGGTCACACTGTGTGGCGTCCGGAGGGGTCCCACTGTGTGGCATCCGGAGGGGTCACACTGTGTGGCGTCCGGAGTGGTCCCACTGTGTGGCATCCGGAGGGGTCACATTGTGTGGCGTCCGGAGTGGTCCCATGGTGTCTGGAATGGTCACACTGTGTGGCGTCTGGAATGGTCACACTGTGTGGCGTCTGGAATGGTCACACTGTGTGGCGTCCGGAGTGGTCCCACTGTGAGGTGTCCGGAGTGGTCCCACTGTGTGGTGTCTGGAGTGGTCCCACTGTGTGGTGTCCGGAGTGGTCCCACTGTGAGGCGTCCGGAGTGGTCCCACTGTGTGGTGTCCGGAGTGGTCCCACTGTGTGGTGTCCGGAGTGGTCCCACTGTGAGGCGTCCGGAGTGGTCCCACTGTGAGGCGTCCGGAGTGGTCCCACTGTGTGGTGTCTGGAGTGGTCCCACTGTGTGGCGTGGGCATACTGGCCGCCCCACAGTGTTGGAAACAATGAACTCTCCAGAGGAGTTGGGGGTCATGTGCATGAGCTCCCAAAGGCTGGAGCCGGGCTGGGGCCTGGGCATGTTCCCAGATTCGTCCTGGTGCCCAAGCCGTCCAGCCAAGGGTAGAGCTGGGGTCCGGGGCATTGGTGTCAGCGCTGCCCTGCCCCCTGCTCCCGGCAGTCCGAGGAGCGGTCGGTGCTCTTTGCGGTGGCCTCGGCGCTGGTGAACTGCACCAACAGCTACGACTACGAGGAGCCCGACCCCAAGATGGTGGAGCTGGCCAAGTACGCCAAGCAGCACGTGCCCGAGCAGCACCCCAAGGTGAGGGCGCCCCCGGAAGGAGCTTGGGGGAAGTAGCTCCCCTGGGACTGGGTGATCCGGGGCACCCACGGCAGGCACGCCTTCCATTCAAGGGGGTTTCTTCCCCTTGGTTTTCATGGTCATCGATCTGCTGTGAGGAGGGTCCCCTCTCCCTGTCCAATGAGCCGGAGCCCCTGTGCTCAGCCGCCTCCTTCCCCAGGACAAGCCGAGTTTCGTGCGGGCCCGGGTGAAGAAGCTGCTGGCGGCGGGCGTGGTGTCCGCCATGACGTGCATGGTGAAGACGGAGAGCCCCGTGCTGACCAATTCCTGCCGGGAGCTGCTGTCCAGGTGAGCCTGCGCCGTCCGAGGGAGCGGGGCCTGTGCCGTGGCCTCTGGGGTGGGATGTCTGCCCGCCGGGCCCGGCCGCCCACCACCGCGCCTTCTCCCCGCAGGGTCTTCCTGGCTTTGGTGGAAGAGGCGGAGGACCGCGGCACGGTGGTTGCTCAGGGAGGGGGCAAGGTGAGCTGTCCACACTCCCTCCTGGGTCTGTGCTGTAAAACCTGACTCAGAGGCTGCTGTACCAGCAGTTGGTGTTAGATGTGGAGCAAAAAGCAGTATCAGTGGCCCTGGCCAGCTTGGCTCAGTGGATAGAGCATCCGCCTGCGGACTGAAGGGTCCCAGGTTTGATTCCGGTCAAGGGCACCTGCCTGGGTTGTGGGCTGGATCCAGTAGGGGGCGTGCAGGAGGCAGCCCATCCATGATTCTCTCATCATCGATGTTTCTCTCTCTCCCTCTCCCTTCCTCTCTGAAATTAAAAAAAAAAAGCGCATTATAAATGGCGGGAGGAACGTCCTCCTGCTGAGGGGTGATGCTGAAGGGGCTGGGCTCCTGTCAAGGTGCTGAGTCGGCCTTTCCCTGTGTCGTTGACCTCCTTAGCCCCTTGCCCAGCACAGCCCATGTCTAGCTCTTGAATGGTGTTTCCGGAAGTGTTTGGGTGGCCTAATGGGAGACCTCAGAGAGGCGACGAGGGTCTGAGCCCCGTGATCTACAAGCCTTGTGGGGGGCGGAGAGGGGATAGTGAGGGCGCACAGTCAGGGCATCGGGGCCTGAAGCTTGGGCCTCACGCTCCAGGCACGTCATGACCCCTGAAGGGCTTGTCCCTATAGGCTCTGCTCCCGCTGGCCCTGGAAGGCACGGACGTGGGGCAGACAAAGGCCGCCCAGGCTCTCGCCAAGCTCACCATCACCTCCAACCCAGAGATGACCTTTCCCGGAGAGCGGGTGCGTGTCCTCCCGCCCAGCCCTGGCCCCCCTCCACCCCTCGCTGGGCCCTGATGGCCTCAAACCCGGCTGTAGCTGAGCCCCGGGATGGGGAGGGCAGCCTGCTGCTGGGGGGACCGCCAGCTGCAGGGTCAGCGGGCTGGTGGGGGCTGGGCCGTGTAGCCCTGACAGTGGGGGGCACATCGCAGGTCTATGAGGTGGTCCGGCCCCTCGTGTCCCTGCTGCACCTCAACTGCTCAGGCCTGCAGAACTTCGAGGCGCTCATGGCTCTCACAAACCTGGCGGGGATCAGTGAGAGGCTCCGGTAAGGCCCTCGGGATGCGGGCCTGGGCGGGGTTTCGGGGCTTCGGTTACCCCCAGGGAAGCACTTCACAGTTGGGTCCTTGCTGTGTTTGAGAGCCTCTGCCATACAGCGGAGGGGATAGTTCCACGAGCACAGGGTTCTCGGCCATGCCCTGGCCGGTGTGGCTCAGTGGGTGGAGTGTCAGCCTGCAGACCGGAGGGTCCCGGGTTCGATTCCGATCAAGGGCACATACTTCAGTTGCAGGCTTGTCCCTGGCCCCAGTCAGGGTATGTGTGGGAGGCAACCAATCGATGTGTCTCTCCCTCTCCTTTCCACTCTTTCTTAAAAAAAAAAAAAAATCAATGGAAAGATATCCTCGGGTGAGGATTAATGAAAAGAAAAAAAATGGCTCTTGGCCATAACTGCAGGCTCCAGAGTCACCCTGGTTTCCCTGGTTACTGGCGTGTAACCTCAAGCAAGTTACTTAATCTCTCCGTGCCTCAGTTTCCCCCTCTGTGAAATGGGATGGTTATAGTACCCGCCTCGTCAAATCCTGGTGAAAATAATTAAATGAGAAAACGCATGTAAAAGCTCTTAATACGAAGGTGCCTGGCTCCCGGCGATGTGCCCAATTGATACATATTTGCTCTTTTTTTTTTTTTTACATTTGATTAATGGAGGAAATATCTTTTTTTTTTCTCCTTTTAATTGACTTGATTTTTTTTAAATATTTTGTTTTATTGCTTAAAGTATTACAAAGAGTATTACATATGTCTCCTTTTTTCCCCCCCTTGACATTCCCCTCGTATTTGCTCTTATTGTGACCTTTACTGCATGGCTCACTCCACAGCCTTGGTTTTCTCTTCTGCAACGTAGTCATGCCAGTCACACCTGCCCCTCCAGCAGGGGGCGTGGGGAGGAGGAGGTCAGACAGCCTGAGTGCCAGGTCAGGGTCAGGGCTCAGGGCAGTGTCAGCATCGCCATCACCACCACCCTCGTCTGCAAACTCCTAGTTCAGAGCCTTTCCCACGGTCCCACGTCAGCGCCCAGGCCTGGCTAGAAGGTTGGAACCGCCACAGTTCACACCTGGTGCCGAAGGCCCTTGGACATGGCCCCGGGAAGCCCTCGGCCCAGGGCCGGGTTGTACAGGGACGCGGTGGTGGAGGCCCTGATGGCGCCAACCCGCCCACCTTGGCTCCGCAGGCAGAAGATCCTGAAGGAGAAGGCTGTGCCCATGATTGAGGGCTACATGTTTGAGGACCACGAGCTGATCCGCCGGGCGGCCACGGAGTGCATGTGCAACTTGGCCATGAGCAAGGAGGTGAGGCGGACCCAGGCAGCCACGTGGGCAGGGGTGCAGAAGTGCCTGTTCCCTGGGCGGCCAGCTGACCGGGTCACCTCCCTCTTCCGGCCACAGGTACAGGACCTCTTCGAAGCCGAGGGCAATGACCGCCTGAAGCTGCTGGTGCTGTACAGCGGGGAGGACGACGAGCTGCTGCGGCGGGCGGCCGCCGGGGGCCTGGCCATGCTCACCTCCATGCGGCCCTCTCTGTGCAGCCGCATCCCCCAAGTGGTCAGTGCCTCTCCTCTGCGGGGAGGGAAGGGGAGGCGGGCGCGGCCCCAGCTTGGCACTGGTGGGTGGGTGTGCCCCCTGCCGGGGCTCAGCCTGTGGCTCGTTCCCTGCAGACCACACACTGGTTGGAGATCCTGCAGGCCCTGCTCCTGAGCCCCAACCAGGAGCTGCAGCACCGGGGCGCCGTGGTGGTGCTGAACATGGTGGAGGCCTCGCGGGAGACGGCCGGCACCCTGATGGAGAGCGAGGTGCTGGAGATCCTGTCGGTGCTGGCCAAGGGCGCCGAGGGCCCCGTCTCGAGGGCGGCCGCGGCTTGCCTGGGGAAAGCGGTGGAGTATGGGCTCATCAAGCCCAACCAGGATGGAGAGTGAGGGGCTGGCAGCACCACTGCGCATCGCGGCCCAGGGGACCACGCGTGCAGCTGTGGCCGTAGGGGCTGGGCTGCCAGCACGCGGGCCTCCTCCCCGGCGGCCCTTTGGAGTCCTCTGCCCTGAGTCAGGGGCCACGCGCCACAGCCCTGCTCACAGCACTACCTCCAGCCTCACGCAGAGGGGCTTTTCCTACCACTGCAGACACTGGGAAAGGGGCGCACTCCTCACTCAGCCAGGGTTCCCGCATCCGCATCCGGCGGCACTTCCGGCAGCCTCACAGGCAGTGAGCATCACCGAGCCCACCACCACGGCTGCCCGGCCCCTAATAAAAGCGTGTGGAACTCAAGCGTGTGGCCTGTCCGTGGCCTGGAGGAAGGCTGGCCATTGGTCACTCTGGAGCAGGAGCTGGTGGGCCCAGTGCCCACGGGAGCCACCTCTGCGAAGGAACCCCATGGATTCCCCACCCCTGGGCCAGTGGGTCGCGGCTTAATCCTGTTGGAGGCTCAGGGGTTAAGCCTAGAATCTAATCAATAAACAAAGGAGTGGGTTTAGGGTACAGACTCCAGGATGCTGGCCCTTCAGTACTAGTGTCTTTGCATTGAGAGTCCTCATTGACCACGTGCAGGGCTGGTGGGCGTGTCCCCGGGCTGCTCCTCCCTCCAGCACCTGAGCCGCGGGCTAAGCCCATTCGAAGCTCATAGGCTCAACGGGATAGATGACAGGTCCCGGAGCCAATGAGAGGCATGGCGGCAGAGGCGCCCGCCTACTACGGCTGCTTCCGGTCGGGC